CGATACTATTCCGGTATACTGGCGCAACACTAGCTTTACTATAATGTCGACGTTTATGCCCCCTCATTATTCGATTGTGACACTTGACTTGGTAATGAAAGCGCGCAATTCGCGCCAAAAGGTTCATTTAAAAATGTCTAAAAGTACTTTGGTATTTATTTTTCAAGATTGCTTTTCGGAAACCTAAGCATAATATTTAATTAATTATGATTTCTGGTAACGTCTAATAACAGGGTGTGATAAAAGGCTTGATTATGTTTAAGCTAAATTGTTAATAAGTTTTTATGGCCAAAAAGTTCTTCTAAAGTTAATTAATTAAGTTAAAAAAACTGAACAAAAAACGAGTTTCAAAAATGTTCTATGGTCGATTAACTTTAAATTCATTCCGTCGTTACAACTGCTGTTAGTGATTTCCTTAATTTGCGGTAAATTCATGGTCACAAATATTATTTCAATGATATTTGTGACCAAGGATTATTGTTAAACTAGCTTTTGCCACTTACTTCGTATGCACGGAATTAAAAAAAAACTTAATAAGTAGCCTGTTTTCAAAATACATTCCGTTGAGCAGTTCTAGAGATACCTTCTGACAAACATCCTTCTAACATTTGAGTTTATATTATTAATACTAATTCATTCTTTCAATATATATATTTAATAATCCAATAAATGGACATTAATTATTACATGTAATACATAAATTAACACGTTTCTTATATAATTTATATCATATTCTTGAATTGAAGTATGCTTCCATATCGGTCTAAAAGTTGCTCTACATGTGTTGTCAAACATGTTTTTATTCGCATTTACTAAGTAGATCCGATCCGATTATGGCAAGTTCATTAAACGACCACCACTATTTACAACAAGAACCAGTGTCAATCAAACCAGTCAATAGTTACACTTGAAGACAAATTTAGTGGTACACTAAGTTCCAAAAAATATTATGGATGTTTATGATACGTATGTTATCTATTGAGAATATATATTTCTAATCTACATTGTTAATTGGTCACTAACAAAATTCTGACGATTCTTAACTAAGGGAAGATAAGTAATCATTTACTTTATTGCAGCTAATATCGTAAAAATTAACAGCATAATAAGAGAAAAATATTACTCGATAGAAACACTGTCTTTGCCTATAAATGATTTCACACTAGCTGTCGCCCGTGACACCGTCCGCGCGGATCTAAAAAAAAGTCTTAGTAACCTATGTCCTTTCAGACTATGTTCTACATCTGTGCCAAATTTTACGAAAATCCATTCAGCCGTTCCGGAGATACCTTCAAACAAACATACATCCATCCATCCAAAGTAAGATAGTAAGATTATCCTCGTTATTTACCTATAAATACTATGAGTAATAACTGTCTTTTTCTGACCCTTAAATGTGTTCTTAAGTGTATTTATCAAGACATCAGACTTACGGTCGTCAAAAAAATACATTTTGATGACATTGATATATATATAAAAATAGTGATGCGATAATGTTTTTTATTTATTATTTTTTATACAACAATGCACTTGACTTTTGACAGCTCAAAAATTAATGATTTATGCGCCTGGAAGTTGAATTGTGCTTATTAATGCCTTCTAATCAATTAATATATATAAGATGATTTCTTTTTAATATTAAAACAAAATTCTATCGTAATAACCACAACGAAAAATTATTATATGTTTTTAGTATTTTTTCGTGTAAGTAGGTAAGTTTAGACCTTAATTTGGTACCCATACAGTAATATTATATATATCCATTTATCTTATGGTTACGTACAGTGAAACTGGAAAATATGAATAGAGAGAAATACTTCAATTTACAGATTACGTGAAACGAAACATGCATAAATAATAAATACAAATGTATAGTTTTATGAACGTGTGTGGCCGAGACTTTCTCCGTGTGGACAAATTGCTGGCAATGCACCGTAATGCGTTGTCGCCTTCTATAGCAAACGGTTAGCTACAGCTGTTGGCAAAAAGATTTATGATGTTAAACCATTGATAAACTATTACTCAGAATTATAATACACTTTTTTGATGCCGTTTATAAGTCACGTATTTTAGCTTAAGCATTCCAAACAGAATAATAGCCAAAACTAAAATCGGTAATAGGGTAATCAAACCGTTATTGTATACCCGACAAACATATTATAATAATCTTTATATCAATTATAAGGATCAGATATAAGACTTATATTAAGGAATAAACTATATTTTCGCTATAATATTTTTTTAATTACAGTGTCATAAGCTAAAATAATTATATTAAATGAACTTAATTTACTTAAAAAACGGAACAAATATCTCGTATTAATTTTACCAAACTTAAGATAACTCGACCCAAATATTTACAAAAGATCGTACAGAATAAATATAAAACTTTAATTTGCACAGATAAAAAAACGTACAAAGATATTTCTGACTCGGTCAATTTTCGTACATAATCTACGATAAATATTTCAATAATGGTTACAAAAAATGACATATGAATCTGTTGAGATCATTAATGCAATGCGAAAGATTTCACAAAAAGCATAATTGAGGTCGGAAATACGGCTCACTTTGCTTGGCGTTTTATTTCAAGAGGACATTAACTCTTCGTTTACCTTTTTTTATTCATACAACTTTTTGTCATCAGCCAGTAAACTTTGCGTATTGATAAATATGTCAGACAGGGATGGTAAGTCAATCAATTATGCATAAATTTATTACAGAAGCTGGTTTAGTTCACTAAAAATAAAAAATAATAAAGCTTTTTCATACTATTACTTTAAATACTTTTTGTGGCATTTCTCTTAAGAATATACTCACTGGGTTTATATCAATAATCGTCATCATCATCATCATCAGCTCACTATACGTCCCCACCGAGGGGCTCGGAGCCTATCCTAAGTTAAGGGTGATTAGGTCATAGTCAACCACGCTGACCAAGTGCGGGTTGGTTGACGTCACACATATCTTTGAATTTCTTCTCAGACATGTGCAGGTTACATCACGATGTTTTCTTTCACCGTAAGAACGTCGGATAAATGTACATGTGACAATCGGAAATCGAAAAACACATTGGTACATAGTGGGATTCGAACCCAAGACCTGCAAATTGCAAGTCAAGTGCTTGACCCCTGAGCCACCGACGCTCCCTATTATCATTATAAATCAATAAATTGTATTTTATTCATAATTTTAGACATAAGTGTTAAAAACGTTTGCTGCCTCTAATAAAACAGTTTACTGGCTCTGTGTAGTTTAAAAGATGATTATGTTTTTTTTAAGTCAGTAAAGTTACCGTTTAAGGTTACAATTACCTTCTTAACTGTCTAATGCAAGCCACATTTAAATTTAAATAATTCGAAAATTACACGATATGAATATTACAAATTGCGGTCAACGTAACTACTATCATGATCAAATTATGAACAGTAATGATTGGAAGTGCTTTTTTTTTTTGTTTATGAACAATATTATAAAATCAAGGAAATAAATAACTGGCCATTGTAAGGCAGGAACACAAAAGTGGACAGCATAAACCTTTTTCGAAGTTTTTTAAAAAAAATATTCTAATAGGTAGAATACACATCTATCATTTAAATTTCGTTAAAAAAACAAATACTTATATTTTTTAACCTTTAAAATATACGTAAAAAAATAATAAATCACGTAAATATAAAAATAAAACATCGAATTACACTATAAATTATACTGCAAAAGTATTTAATATTATTGTGAACACATTTTTATTAGAAACAATTTTTATGACTCAACTCTAATTCCCATGACCGTGTGTAGCCAGCCTAAAGATAATGATATGCGGTAACTCGTATAACGTTACTTAACACGACCAGTTAATAAACGAGCTTTGATTTTATTGCTTTTTAAAACAGATCATAATTAATAAGGCCCCAATCGATGCAATGGATCGTGATCTTTAATTTCTTATTATCTTAATGTGTTATGATCGAATAATTCGATACTTCTATGAGATAATAATAGTACATTATCTTTACTAGTTACTGCCGTAATAAATGTTTACGTGACGGTTACCATTGCAATGACCCCATCGCATTTTTTTTGTATTTTTAACGACACTGTGAGACAAATCTTACTTCTTACCTATATTATAAATGCGAATGTTTGGATGGATGGATAGATAGATGTTTGTTAGAAGGTATCTCCAGACCGGTTGCATGGATCTGGCTGGATTTTGGCATAGATGTAGAATGTAGTCTGAAAAATACTGGCTACTAATAAAGTTTTTTCTTATTCCACGCAGACGACAATTAGTAAACACTAAATTAGAATAAAGAAACAAAAGAAAAAGTATTGAGTTTGTAAAACCAATGCTTCGTTCACATAACTGTAGGTTTCGACTGCATTATCACATATTGTTGTCTCCGATTTTTTTAAGACAATGAGAGAGATAACAATATGATTCAATAATAGAGTCAGTAAAGTCGAAACCAATATGATAATAAAATACATTACAATACCCAAAATACCATTGTTAAATAATATCAATGTCTCTAAAACGGTAGCAAAACAATTTTAATTATAATAACATAAATAATTATATACCAGGAGATTGGCGCTATGATAATTAATTGTTCTCTATGTTAATTAATTCGAGCATCTCCATGAAGTATTTTATAACATTACCTCTTTAATTTTTTATCTTTATAATTAAGAACGCTTCGTTTGTTATGAAGTAAATGAACGCTGGATCTGTTATAGATGAGTGACCGGTTTATTAGTGTCGGAAGTCTATGAAAATAATCATTATGTTTTAAGAGACTGTATCCTTTTTTTAAAATCATTAGGCAAAGATTAAGAAACAAATAAAACAATTTTTTTAAATAAAAAAGGTTCCATAATCTTTTACTATTATCCGTCTACTATTTTTGTATCAGTCGTTATTCGATGTATTTACTTAAGCATGATTAAATTTTACTATTGAATAGATAGCATTGTAATATGATATCGTTTTCTCTTTTCAGATCCAACAAAATGGTGAAGTCCAGTTTCCTATTTGGTCTAGTAGTCCTGGCGGTGGTATGCCCTGGCCAAACCGCTCCGAGAAGAAGATCTCGTGCTGCTGCCCTCCCTACGGAAGAGACAACTGAAGCACCCATCCGTCAGAGCAAGCTTGAAGAGAAATACAAAGAAGAAATCACAACTAGCGCCCCAGAATCAACGCATAGAAGGAATAAAGCACTAAACTTATTTGGCTACTTCCCTCCTTACATGTCTTCTGGCCTTGATTACGCGGACGATGATGATGATGACGTCACCTTCGCAGTAAACGATGATAACTTTAGCGGTGAAGATTTATCTAGAACCATACCGTCTACACGAAGACAGCAAAACAAGAAGAAAAATGGCAATGGAAACCTCTACCAAAATGATAATTTGAACTCTCTACAATACGATAATTCACCCATTTTCTATATTAGATTACCCCCTACACCTTACATGTTTGTTCCTGGTTTGGGTTATGTATCGCAACCACCTTCTCTTGGTCCCCCTATGTCCCCACTTATGCCTCAAGGTGTTCCTCAAGTAGCTGATCCGTTTATCAATCTGCCTCTAGACTTCGTATCAAATGGGAAACCAACTGGCGTGTACCAGTGGAGCGGCGCTGGCTATCCCCAGGTTCCTCAAATGGGATCCGTGGATCCCTTTGGCTATGGTGCACCGCAACCTATCATACCCGCACCGAGACCGACCTACAACCCTCCAGCATATCCCAAACCGAAACCGACGCCAAGCAATTCTAAGGTCACCAATCTTAAAGGCCCATATGTATTCAATGGAAAGCCAGCCGATAACGTCTATGTACTAAGGGACACTTACAATTCTATATACTCAGATGCTCTTCAAAATTTCTATCCTTAAAATGTAATTGGAGATAATAGGTTATAATTTGATGGCTCGTATCGAGCCTATGTTTTTTAGAAAAACAATTTTGATTATTTTCAATGGTGCAATCAATTTATTGACCTTATATTTTTAATTTTTTAACATATGGACTGTATCTTATTTTTGAATTTAACGGACCGAATATTTCTTCAAGGAAAAGAATTCAACGAGATTTGTTAAAATATCACAACAAACTTTAAACTTGTTTCCTCCACTAAGGCCGTGAGATGATTGATTGATTAATATAATTAATTTAAGTAATTAATTAGTAATTTTTCCTTAACTATAAAGATAGAAGTTTCTAATTTAATTTATTCTTTTAAAAACGTAGAGATTATTTAATATTATAAATTATTTTAGATAAGTAAGTACAAAAACTGCAATGTATTAATCCATCCATTAGTAATACATACATTACATAATTAATTGTAATTAGTTTTGTATTGTTTAAAAATAATTAATATTTTTAATTACATAATACTTTTATAATACTTGCATTGTATAACTCAGTGCTTATTTTTTATATCAACTTAGTTATTCCTTTAGTAAATAAGTAAAACTTAATAATTTCATAGGTTATATAGATTTAAGATGTAAGCCACCTCCTAGTCTCTCGTGAATTGTATTTAAGCGAGATACGTAGAGAGATTACGAAAACCAACAATTCGTTCGAAAAAATTATGTTTTGATAGAAAACTGCTTTCGAGTACGACTAATATAATATGGTACTTACTCAAAGTTGAACAGGGTATGTTTGAAACATGAGTGCAGAGTTTTGATCCGATTTCTCAAAAACCTGTAATAAAAATTTAATAATACATTGTGTTCCGATTTCCCCTAATTATCATAATCACCGTAAATTACAGAGAAAATACGGTTGGATCAAATTGTTTACGTCCTGAATGTAGTTTTATTCATGTTTTACAATATTTTGAAGGATAATTTAAATGTAAAGATGACATAAGAAACATATTGCGCATGCGAAATAAATGAAAGGTGGTAATTAAAAAAAAACTCGCCTTTAGGCCTTTTTTCGCCTCGCAAGAAACAAAGGAAAACTGATCGCCAACCTTCGCTAGTCGGAGAGGCACCTCAAGAAGAAGAATTTAAAAAAAATGAAAAATTTGGTAGAATTTCAATGCAATAATTTTTTGAAAAAAATAAAATAATATCATAGCGTGGTATGTTAATATTCTCACAAATGATCATTGTGATATCATCACTTAAAATAAGTATTATATTGCTATAAAATACATAGCTATAAATATTTGCTGTAATAATACTGAAATTGTAAAACAAAATAACCAAGATCTTATTTAGTTGTTTTTTTTTGGCTAAAAAGAAATTAATTATGATACAAAAAACTACACGTGTAAAATGTGGCAATTGTTTTTAATATCAGAGACAGCTGACAATTTGCAATAATAATAAACTTAACGTAGATATAAATAGGGTGTTTTTGAATAAGTATATTTTTTGTCAGTAACTCCATAAATGTCTTATAATTATGTCGTCTATACATATTTAGAAAATTTGAATATTTTTTATGTAACAAATACACAAAGTATGTTATAACCTAAAACGAGTGAGAAATAAATACAATTTTAACTAGTCTGTTCATTTTATTTTTCTACCTTACGCCAAATCCGATGAAAATTAAGAAAAGATAACAAGCAAAAATTGTTTTGATAAATGTCTAGCAAATTCCTACTGTCTAGCAAAAAGTTGCAAAGCAAGCAACAATAGCTGTGGCATTTTGGCAAATTCACAACCTACCTGTTAAAAACATAAAGTATAGCCGTTTTATCAACTTGAAGTCTTGTCAATAAAATAAAAGCAGTTTTCATTGCCTAATACGTAAAAAGACTACACGAGCGAATAATAATATTGAATTTTCCCGCTGTGGAGGAACGTCTGTAACGAGAATTGGGTTTTAGTGTTGCCCGTCAAAGATTTTAAAATATGTTGCCAGTTCGGTAAAGGGAAAGTCGTGTTACACATCATAAATAATTTTTTTTTGTATTTCACTTATTTTTTCTTTTTAAACTATCTAATAACATCTCATTAAATATTTAAAAACAAATTTTTAATAAAATAAAAATATGCATTTGTCAAATCACTCCTTGATAGTTTTCGAACGTATCAAACTGTCAAAATTATTTTAGCACGTAAGAGCAGGAAATGTTAAAATAACACGAAACTCAATTAAAATATAAACAAAACTAAAACAATAAAAATAGTAAAACTAGCGACAATTTATGTAGCATATCTATTTCCTTATTGACATAACTTTAAATAATAATTCGCGAACATGTGTGTTAATTGAAGTGACGTTTATTAAATAACAAAAAGAGTAGAATGACCAGTGTATTTTATTTTGTTATTTAATATAATTGTACACAATGTTTCGGAGTCGAAGTTGGTTTGGTGCATCTTGGGGAAGGCCTAAAAATCCCCATTCTTTGGAGAGGTTAAAATATCTACATAACATTCTGTCTAAAAACACAACTGTATCAGAGAGTAACCGTGGTACCCTCGTGGAATCTTTAAGGTGTATTGCAGAAATCCTGATATGGGGTGACCAGAATGACAGCTCTGTGTTTGAGTAAGTGACCTTATTTACAAATGGAAATTTATATCAATACTGAGTCATTGTAATAAATTGTTGCACTTTATGTTGTATATATGCAGTTTCATGTATTATGTTCCCTTTTGTGTAATTTATGTGTAATTATGAAATAACTACACATATATTGATAAAATTTTCCATTAGTTTTTAGCTTAATTTATTAGCATGCTGATTTATTAGTGACTCATAAAACACCTTCATCTTTATTTAATTGCCAAAGTCATTTAAATTACTAAAGTTTTACTACACATTGGAATTCTACATTTATGATATGCATATTTACAGGGTGTTATAAAAGATTAAAAGTTCTCTGCTCTTTCCAGTTTCTTTCTAGAGAAGAACATGCTCTCTTATTTCCTTAAGATAATGAGACAAAAATGTGGAGGATCGTCTTATGTATGTGTTCAGTTATTGCAGACATTAAACATATTATTTGAGAATATTAGGAATGAAACATCTTTATGTAAGTACATCTAAACTTGTAAAGTAACATTTCACATTTTATAAAGAAGTGGATGCCTAATAATTAACAGAATTTAAAATATTAAAAAGTTCTTTGTTTGGTAAAGAATAGGGAAAGTAAGAAATTAATAATTTTCTCAACAAATGTTTATTAAACTATTTTCACTTACAAAGTACATTATAATCTTACTTGGGGAGTGAACAGTACCTTCACAGTTTTATAATTTCTTTGTTTTCAGATTATTTACTAAGTAACAACCATGTTAACTCAATAATAGTTCACAAGTTTGATATATCTGATGAAGAGGTAATGGCATATTATATTTCATTCTTGAAGACTCTAAGTCTGAAATTAAATAATCACACCATACACTTCTTTTATAATGAGGTAAGAAATTAAAATAACTACTAACACAACAGAAGGGTTAGACAAAATGCATTAGCTTCGAGGCGATTATAGCAAACTTCAAAAATGCATAAAACAGATAATAACTTTTGATAAGTCATTTGACTGTTGCACGCCAATTTCATACTTTTTTAAAATTCATTATAGAATCACTTGGAAGCGGATGCACTTTGTCTCGCCCACCTGCATATAATACATCTCCATTCACAAAAAACACCAGTTGCCCATGACTTTTAATCCATGTGGAATTATATATAAACATAGACCCTTAGATAAAATTAATAAGAAAGAAAATAGTAATTGTAGAAAAGTAGTAAAGAGTGATAATAAATTGTTTGAATATTTTGGCATTTGTTTGAAATTGTTTGCAATTGTTTGAATGTGTTGTGAACAACAACCAATTCAAGTTCTAACAATATTCTTTGCACCATAACATGTAATATAACTTGCTAAGAATATGTTTTTTTTTTCCTTTAAAAAGTATTTGCAAGACTTTATCAAATTATTTTTATTACATACATAAGAATTAATTAAAAACTTGATGTTGAATACTCATACGACTTTTGTGATAAGATATTATCTTAATTAAAAAAAATGTTTCTTGAATTCCTCTGCATGTAAAACTAAATGATAACAATTTAATTAATATTATGATATATCTATGTAATTAATTTTGTTTTTTTAATAAACACTTTACTGTTTTATGTAATATGGTGTCCAGAATTTGATAGATATTTAATAAAATAAAGGAAAAATATACTTATCCTTAATATATCCAAAGTATTGAATTTTTTTATTCACAACTATACTGACTCTTCTACTTACATTTTATTGTAATATACTCCTTAAAAGTACTGAACCCCACTGAAGGGCTTGGAGTCCTCCCTAAGTTAGGGAGCTAAGCCATAGTCAACCATGCTGGCCCAGTTCCTGTCGGTTGACTACATATCTGAGATGTGCAGATTGCATCACAATGTTTTCCTTCACCATATGCACATGGGATAAATGTAGTATATCAAAAAATTTAAAAACATTGTTGCATGGCAGGATACCTTGTATCGGTATATTACAAGTCAAGTGCTTAACCCCAAGACATTGACGCTTTAAACGACGACATATATTATGATAAAAAATGAAGAATGTTTATATCTTTTGTTGACTGTGTTTCAGCATACAAAAGATTTCCCGCTGTACACCGAGGCAATAAAGTTTTTCAATCATCCTGAATCAATGGTTCGGATTGCGGTGCGCACTCTTACCTTGAATGTATACAGGGTGCAAGATGCCAGTATGCTTCGATTTATAAGAGATCGGTAAGATTTTATTCAATTACCATCTGTCCCCAGCGATTCTGTGTGCGCACAATTTAAAATTAAATTAGTAGCCTATGTGTTTCTGTAGACTATGTTCATCATCCATGCAGCCATTCTGGTGATACCTTCTAACTAAAATTTGCTCATCCATTCAAGAATCCATAGCTCGCAATTATATTATTAGTAAGATTAATCTTATATATAAAATTCTCGTGTGACAAATTTCGTTCCCATACTCCTCCGAAACGGCTTGACCGATTCTCATGAAATTTTGTGAGCATGTTGAGTAGGTCTGAGAATCGGCCAACATCTATTTTTAATCAATTACTATTACTATTTTCTATTATATACATATTTATATGTATACTAGCTGACGCCCGCGACTCCGTCCCCGCTAAATTAAAAACAAACTTAATAAGTGGCCTCTGTGTTCTTCCAGACTATGTCAACATCCATCCATTTAAACATTCGCATTTATAATAATATAAGTAAGATATCATAAGGTTAATTATTTGCAGGACTGCAGCGCCTTATTTTAGTAACTTAGTTTGGTTTATCGGAAAACATATATTGGAACTAGATGCATGCGTCAGGAATGATGCTGAGTATGTATTATATTTTATAATTATATTTATAATTTCATTATTATTTATATTTTAAATTAGCAAATTATATCTTTTTAGCCATCAATCTCAACAAAAATTGGACGACTTGGTTGCGGAACATTTGGACCATTTACATTATATAAATGATATTTTATGTCTGAACATTCCCGATCTGAATGATGTTCTTACAGAACATTTGTTACACAAACTGCTCATCCCTCTATACATATATTCTTTGACTTCTGAACCGACAAAAAGACCTGTCACTTCCTCCCCATATAATAGAGATCATATTCAGAGTATAGAAGTTATTACGAGAAACTTGGAGGCTATTTTAAAAGGCAAAAACACTGAAACACCAACGAGAATGAACTATCCAATACAAAGAATAGAATCAGAAGAGGAAACTAAACCTTCAGTATCTTGTGTTGTGGCATTATTCTTATTATCACAAGTTTTCTTAATAATAACTCACGGTCCAATAGTTCATGCTTTAGCCTGGATTATATTGCAATCAGATTTATCAGTATTCGAAGAAGGTGCAACTAAAATATTAGAAATGTATTTAAGTAAAGCAAAAACTAATGTCAAATTGGAATTCTCAAAACCACAATTAAGTTTAGAGAAAGCTCTAGAAACATCCGGACAAGAAAGAGATTACACAACACCGGAGTACAGTGGTGCTAAAGCTTTTGGTTATGACACAGATCATTCTAGTTGTGACCTTGATCCAGAACTTGTGTCCACTTCCCTACCATCTACGTCACATATAAGTGAAACATCCAGTATAGCTAATGATTCCACTGAAGATTTAGTAACGCAAATACATAGTATAAAATCGATAGTTGCAGCACAAAATATGCCAGATTCACCATTACCGGATTCCGGTATTGATTCTAGCTCGTCTAAAACATTGTCAGATTTAAATAATATCACCGATGAAGAGAAACAGAAATTACTAGCTGTATTACCCAGTACGTCAGCTGAAAAGAATATGAGTATAGAAAATATTTTAGATAAAGAATCAAAGGAAATTGATAAGAGACCATTCTTAAAGACAGTTCTAGAATCTTTGGATTGCAGTGAAAATGATTATAAAGCGTTATTCGCTTTATGTCTATTATTTGCTTTGATAAATAATAAAGGTAAGAATTATACAAGAACTATCTCTCGCCCGTGGCTCCGTCTGCGCAGATTTAAAAAAAAATAGTAGCCTATGTGTTCTTCCTGACTATGTTCATTTTGTATTTAAACTTTCATCAAGATCCATTAAGCGGGTCTGGAAATACATTTAAACAAACATCCATCCATCTAAACATTCGAATTTATAACATTACTAGCTGTCGCCTGCGACTCAGTACGCACGGAATTAAAAAAATAACTAGTAGCCTAAGTGTTCTTCTAGACTATGCTTTATATGTATGCCAAATTTCATCATGATCCATTCAGCTGTTCTGGAGATACCTTCAAACAAACATCCATCTAAACATTCGAATTTATAATATTAGTAAGATGTTCTGTTTTATGATGTAAACTAATCGATTTCTTTTTTTTCGCTTTCCTTTGGTATTAGTCGGTAAGAATTTCATCCGTTATTGAAATATATTAATATTTTCTTCAATATTAAAAACTATAACATTTCTAGGAGTGAATACTGAGTTATTGGATACTTTGCTATGTCCTGAAGAAGATACCACATCAAGGAATTCAACCACAAGTATTCAGGAAGGAACAGATGTCGCTAGTGGGCAAAGAGATACTCCAGTGCGATCGAAGCGACCTCTACAGAGTTTCAATGCGTTTCTAATTAATAAGCTAATGGCTATCGCTAACCTTAGTTGTAAACCAGGTAAGATTTTTCAGAGCAGTCTCAAAAAGGTCTCCCTCTCACTGGAGAAGTATCGAGTAGTCACAATGAAACACTGGTTATATCTTGGTGCGAGTCAACTTTATTTAAATGCGATCGGCAAGTCGATAAACATACCAAATAAATCTATATCGTGATCTAGTAATATGTTCCGCCATCTATTGATATAATAATGTAAACTTAATTGACATAGCGTTTGACACATAAGGTGGCAAACGAGCGAGCGGCCACCTGAAATCGCTGAAATAGCGAAGTGACCGTTGCCCATAGACATACGCAATTGTATACGCGTTGTCTACGGAGGAGAGGATGCACAAAAAGAAAATATTTAAAATATTTTCCCTTTCCATGCATCCTCTCATCCGGAGAGTCCACTTCCACTTCCCATCCTTTCCTTATAAGAAAAAAGGTGGGAAGGGAAAGAGGACTAAATTAGGCCTCCGGGACGCACACTCATCACATGAAACGCGGAATTGCTTTAGTAAAATAATTGTTGGTTATCCAACTGCCTCAAGGGGGTATTGTGTTGTGTTTTACATAAATAAAATCGAACCTGGATAAGCCAGAGTCTATAGGACAGCGATATCTTTCTCGCTACAGCGGTTTCTCACTGAACCGAGTTTCTCGCTTTTTTCTAGCGACAAATTGGACAATGTCTCATTGATCCTAGTTCGATTCAGATTTGCATGTAAATTTCGTTGTGACCAACTGTATACTAAACGACTAACCGTGGGCTTCCGAGACCAAAATCTGTGTGTAAAACTTATTGGTATCTCTGTTTTGTCAAAGATAATAAAACGACGTTGCTTTCATCATCAGCTCACTATACGTCCCCATCGAAGGGCTCGGAGCCTATCCTAAGATCACGGTAATTAGGCCATAGTCAACCACGCTGGCCAAGTGCGGGTTGACTTCACACATATCTTTGAATTTCTTCTCAGATATGTGCAGGTTGCATCACGATGTTTTCCTTCAACGTAAGAACGTCGGATAAATGTACATATGTAGTTTGTAAATCGAAAAACATATTTGGTACATGGGATCCGCCATGAGCCACCGATGCTCTCGTTATTATATAGAAAAGATTTTGGTCTCAAAAACCAACGGTAAACAATAGTTGGTTATAAGTGGCCTTTTTTATCGGTTTTTTTTGTTTGGTTAGCTAATAAATAATATTTTTCCTATAGCATCGAAAGTGAGATTGGTGACTTGTGAGCTGAGTGTGTGTTTGTTGCGCGTGGCGCTGCAAGGCACGCGCGGGGTGCCCAGCCCGCAGCACATCGCCGCAGCGGAGTCGTTACGTGCCCGCGCCGCAGCGTTAGCTAGGAATTTCTACAAATGTGATGATATCTTTCTAGATATGTTCGAAGATGAGTTAGTATTTATTTATATACTTAAACTAGCGTTTCTAAACAATAGCTAATTTCTTTTATAATGGATACATTAATTTTAAAATGACAGATATTTGTGCAACTTTCAAATTAAACTTATTAAATTTAAGACACTTGATTCAACCATTTAAAGATTTGCCCATTTGAAGTGTCAATAGCCTAATGGTTAACGGTACGGATTTCCGATCACGGGGTCGGGGATTCGAATCCCAGCAGTCTACTATTGTCGTAAACCATGTCCTAGCACAAGCATAGAGCTTAGTTGTTGCTCTATTAAATTAACAAAAATATTTAATAGAGCAATAATTATAATAATAGTTTTAATTTTTTTTAATAAGTAAAGTACGTCTACAATCAGTTGTTTATATTTATGCAGATATTGTGAAATGAGCAAACGTCCATTAAACGTAGAATGGCTGTGTATGGACGCCGCCATCTTGTTACCGCCCACACGCACGCCCATGTCCGGGATTGCGTTCGCGAAACGACTTCCCAGCGGAGAGGTCAGTCCTAATGCAATTCAATTTTTAAATTCTTTTGTCGTATATAGACTATTCGGAGAGAGGAAGTTAAGAAATTTAAAGACCAAAAAAATTTTTCAAAGGTGACTTCAATTTTAAGGATATAAGACGTGTTTGCCTCCTACTATAATTAAAAATACTTGTTAGTTTGTAACTTAAAAAAAAACATGTCCTTATCACTAGTGCTTGTCGAATGAAAAAAAAACATCAAAATCGTCGAATCAGGAGCCAAATTACGAATAAGAACCAAAAAACCTTTCCACGCGGTCTATACGCGTTTTTGTAAATTAAAAATTTCTAAGATGTAATCCCCCTTAAGTTTATAATGAAGTTTCAGTTCAAAAGAGTGATATAAATTTTGATATACGTAGATGGAGCGAGCTCGTCGCGCGATACGAACGTTCTTCCTCATCCGAGATTTGCATCTGAAGTTGACTGAGCGCGCCGACACTCAGCTGCCGCTCGCCAACCCCGGACACTTCGTGCAGGTCGGCGACGTCCTTGACCTCAGTCAGTATACACATCTGCATACATTACCTCAGTTATTGTTGGTTTCTGAGACCAAAATTGTAAAAATACATATTGCAATCTCGACGATATATACAGAGATTTTTGTCTCAGAAACCTACGATAAGCAATATTTTGAAATGGGTCATTAACTTCACCGTATTGTTTTTAATTCGTGCACTTTTTCCTTTCCAGACGATTCAGATCTGATCTCGTGTGATATAATACAGAAGGACGGCACTTGGCACCACAGGTTCCTGGCGGTGGACCACTTTCAGATCATCCTGGTGGAGCCCGACAAGCAGAAAATGGGCTGGGGCGTGGCCAAGCTTGTCGGTAGTTTGCAGGATCTAGAAGTAAGAATACAAGATTTTTAAATTTATTAATCTTATCTTCTTATTATTAATATTATAAATGCGAATGTTTACATGTATGGATGGATGGATGTTTGTTTGAAGGTATCTCCAGAACGGCTCAACGAATCTCTCTGAAATTTGGCATAGATGTAGAACATGGTCTAGAAGAATACATAGGCTACTTACTAAGTTTTTTTTTAAAAACATGCGGACGGATCCGCAGGCGACAGCTAGTACCCTTATAAATTCTACAACAAAATAAACTTTAATCTTTTTACTAATATTATAAATACGAATACTTATATAGATGAATGGATGGATGTATGAAGGTACCTCCAGAAAGGATGCAAGTAACATACATTTCATACATCTTAAAGGCTCAAGGTCAATGCCCTCCCCCCTACACGTCTTATGTTCTGCGCAGATTCGCGCTATGTTAACATCCGCTAAGATATTTGAATGCTATAGTAGTTATTCGTATGCGACAGATCCAAGGAGACAAGGAGGACCCTCGTTGCCTGCAGCTGACGGTGCATAAGCCGCGTGTGGGTGCGGGCGCGCCTCCCCGCACCGTGCTGCTGCGGGCTAAGTTCAAGTTTGACGACCACATCCGTAGCATGGCCGCCAAACAACGCCTTACCAAGGTCACTACCCCTCTTAGTTTTTATTTCTCATATACACAATTAATAAAATTGGAGTGTCCGTCTGTTATATCGAAAAAAGAATTCATTCTTGAGCATGGTGTATTTTGCGTTGCTTATAAAGTTCAATTCTGTTTGTCTGACTATGGGCATTTATGTTTTCTGTCTACAAGGCCGCGTCATTGACAAATCAGTGCTTGTCGAGATAGCTCTGTATTAGAATGAAGAATTTTTTCAGTGAATTTTTCTTTTTTCGTAAATCGCTCTTTGACCTGTAATTTAATTACCAATAAATATTGTATTGTTTCGTTCCGTGCAATCTTCATTTCAATCGGAGGATGATGATACACGCGGACTTATTTTAGGCAACTTAAAAAAAACGCTCTGACAAAGTCGCGTGCGATCGCTAGTACTAAATAAGATTTAATATTTAGAATCGCTACTATTAGAGAACCAAGCAGAAAAAACCGGGTAAAAACTCAACACAGCTGTTAACACATTCAATGCTACCGAATAGCATTTTATACAAAAAAATATAATATATAAAGAGCCTTTGCCATAAACAATAATTTGTGTTATTTTTGTATAGGGTCGTACGAAAGCCCGTCAGAAGAAGATGCAGCAGATCGGGCGGCTGCTGGAGGTGTCGGGCATCTCCGCGCCCGCCTTCGCCACAAGACATCGCCCGCTCTTCACAAGGCCCGGTCTTTCTGCCGTCAGAAGATCTTCAGGTAAAAACACCAAGAAATTCCACTAATATAGCTTTTTTTCTCTCTTAAAGAGAATGAGATATTTGTTGTAAAAAAACATAATGTCTGGTTTACATTATGCCAGTACAGTAGGACAGTAGCGCTTAAAATCAGCGCTGGCATGACATAAACACTCACTAGCGCCAGTTAGTCTATACAGTCCTCGCTAGACCAGCATTAATTTCGGCTTCGTAGAGCGCTATCTCTTTTACACACTATTTTTAGTTTCGATTGACTTGAAAATAATTTATCGACCACAAATAACAATGCATAATATGTATTTGACTTTATTCTAATACTAGCTGTCACCCGCGACTCTTCGCGCGGAATTTAAAAAAATACATATGTGTTCTAGACTATGTTCTATATGTATGCCAAATTTCATCAAGATCTGTTCTGCCGTTCTGGAGATGCGTTCAAATAAATCCATCCATCCAAACATTTGCATTTATAATATTAGTAAGATCTTGAATAGAGCAGGACAACTAGTGGAATTAATTATTTAGAAAAGCTCCATCTAGTGAGAAATTGCAGTATCCTTAAGTTTATTACGTTGAAGGTGGTGACGGTGAGGAGTGTGAGCGTCGCCTGCGCAGACCGAGCGGACACGTGCTTAAGGACGGCATCGTTGTCTACCGCGAGAGGACCAGCAGAGAGAGGTAACTTTATAGCTTAAGCCTCGTTATGCTGTTTTCATTCTTAAATAACCAACTATATAAAAAAAATCGATAAATTATCCTTAAAAATATTGGTCAATTGCAATAAATATTATTGTGACACAAAAATAACAGTTTCAGTAGCCGTTGATTATTTTTTCAATTTCCAATTAATAAATATATCATAAATAAGAATGTTTGGATAGATGGATGATTGTTTGTTTGAAGGTATCTCCAGAACGGCTGCATAAATCTGAAATTTGACATAGATGTACACAGTCGGAAAGAACGCATAGGCTACTGACTAAGTTTTTATTCCTTGCGGACGGAGTCGCGGGCGAGAGCTAGTTTAGTATCTATATAATAGTTAAATAATGATTACACATTTAAGATTTTATATATATTCCAAATTAGATTTTTTTTTCTGTTAATACATAACTGATATAAAATAGTTTTATGTACTGCAGTAGTATATCGAGAAGCAGCAGTACGCAGGGATCACGAGAAGGTTCTCCTCGTCCTCGCTCAGAAGACATACCTTTAGAAGATATAAGAAGAAACATGGCCGCCGCAGTCACGCCTGTCACAACACAGGTTTGTCTAATCTTCTAGAATGAACACATTTAGAAACAGAAAAGATTTTTGATTGTGTTAGGAAGAAAATCCGGCAGTGCCGGTGTACTGGCGCAACACTAGCCTTATTTAAATATCGACGTTTATTTCCCCTCACTAGTCATTCTGACACTAGACTTTGTAACGAAATCGCGTCATTCGCGACAAATGATTCTAACTATTATAATAATGTCTAAAAATTGTAAATTGGTTTTAAGGAATAAGTAACCGTTAACGTGTTATGTTTGAAGAACAGATATTGACGGCCCCGATGTAAACTTATATAACTCCAAAATCTTATATTTACACGGCATTCAAATGTGTGCATCTCGAACTCTATTGCCAGTTTTTTTTTTGCTAGGAAGGATTTTTTGCTATATATTTCGCGTAATAAAGATCGCGTTAAATGTATTATTTGTTACTTACACAGTTATTAAGCAAAAAAATAAATTGTTCAGTTTCCACGATGAAAATTCACGCTAAAATTAAATTTGATTTTAGTATTAAAATAAAAAAAATTAAGAAACAACTATACATTTGATCCAATTATTCTTAAAAACCTCACATTAATTTCTAATTATATTTTTTTTTATATTTCAGAGCCAACCAAGTACATCGAGAGAAGCTTTGAAAGTAGTCACAACGTCGTCTGAGGAAACTTCCTTCATATCTGGAGAAGTTCCTCGATACAAGAGAAAAGGAATCGTTGAAACTATATGATATTAGCCTTTATTATCAAGACAATAAGGTATGAATTCAAATGTTTTAGACAGCACTTGATTCTTCATATTGTAAAAAAATCTATGTAATAGATTGTAGAATGTCTCGAAGTATGGAACTGGTTAAGGTGTTTGGTTATCAAAGTTATGTCTTGAGGTTTTATGTGTTGGATTACAGGATACTTAAAAAACGAAGATTATTTTTTTTCAAAAAAAAAACAGTAGAACCTCGATATATGAACTGTCAAGAGCGACCTATTTATATTTCATGATTACTAAATATATTTTTTTTTATAATAGCATTCAGAGTTAGTAATAAATAAATAAATAGTTAACAAATTATTTATTACACAAGCTAAATATTAGTTATTCTATGATTTAGTTTGCAGAATTTGTACAACGTAATGTAACAAAAAATTTACATATGTACACAAATAATATATATCGTATTTAAAAAAAAATGTCGCAAAATTCTTAATAAACTTTATTACAGTACGCAAAAAAAAACTTTTCTTCATATATTCGATTATTCGAATGCCTTACGACAATTAGTTCCGTTGATCGTGTTTCTACTGTACAATTCAATTTATTTTCAAATTGTGTTAAAAATAAAAAATAAAAACTCGACCATAACATGACATTGGCCTGATGACGTCACATTGACATATCTAAAATGCATCAAATTCTATGCAACTCTATGTATTTTATGTTATTTTCAGACCATTCAAAAGCTAATATGATATCAACAATTTAATAAAATAGTTCTAATAGTCCTACAAACGTTTTTGACCCGGTGAGTGGCCTTGTTATCATGGCGCCAGGACAAATAAGTTTGACGCACTATACACATTTTTTAGGTTACTCTAGATCATTATTAGTATGTAAAATGTTTAAATAATTTTGTTTTTATACTTTTTTTATTTTTTTTTGTGTTGTGCTCTTGAAATCGGACATTGAAGAAATTTGTCCTACTTTAATAGTCATTTTTGGGTTATTAAAAAGTTTCAAAAGTATAACTCAATCATTGAAATGGTAAATAATTAAAAAAAAACGTATAGTATGAAACTTAAAGTTCAAATTTAATTGGTCCATTTAAACATATCGTTAAAAATCAATCACATAAAAAAATTAAATTCATCAAAAAAGCTGTGGTTACGTCCATAACTTTTTTATTACCGTATGAAAACATAGCTCTACTTTTTTTTTCTTGTCTGCATAATATTGACGTAAAAATCGTATACTTGTTTTTTTGACAATGGAAACATTTTATGAAATTTTTTATCAAACACCAATTTTTTTTGTTAAGTTCCTAATGTGATATTTTTTAGTAAAATTCTTTTTAATAGTTATTTTTATATTTTTTTGTAAAAATCTTTAATTTATGAAAATAATAGGCCAATATAACACATTTTCCTATCTTTTTTTTAATAATCAAGGTTTTTGTCCATTTTCTTATCACCGTCCTTAAGTTTTTAGATATCGGATTGATCCGATTAAAATAAGAACATTTGCTATCTTAGATTAATGTTTGCATTGTAAATTTTTTAATCACATTTTTTTTCATACATTCTAAATATTAATAAAAAAAAACTTTTAAAAGTATCATTCCGAACTTCCATCTACAATAATATGTAAAAAGGTGTGTCAAATAGTTTAAAAAAAAACTAGTTTTAACTAGAAATGAATATTTATTTATATATGACGTCAGTGCAATTTATTTTTGGTCCAATTACAGTTTTTGTCAAAGAATAAGCAACGACAAGAATCATTCAGGAAACTGACAGATGTCGGTAAAACAGTATGATTTGGAAACTGTCAAATTATATTCCTTTTGACGAAAATAGTTATTGAACAAAATAAAAAATAACATTTTTTTTATATCATAAGATGGCAAACGAGCGAGGGGCCACATGAAATCGCTGAAATAGTGAAGTGACCGTTGCCCATAGACATACGCAATTGCATATGCGTTGCCTACCTTTCATCGACGGAGGAGAGGATGCACAGAAATAAAATATTTTCCCTTTCCATGCATCCTCTCATCCGGAAAGTATGTATGAAAGGTATCCACGCTGACAATCATTATAGATATTCAATATATAGCATGGTTTATGAACACCATTGGTTTATGTTGTGATTTTATTTAAACTTTACAATAATTGTTGTACATTTATGTTTACAAATAAAATGTTGTAGCGTTGAAATGAAATATATATTTAACATGTTATATTATACAGTTGTTTTATTCTTACCTTGAAATTTATATCTTTCCTCCTTGTCTTATGTTTGCCGTTAATGTTTAACCGACAGGGGCGCTAGTGAGCTATCATAATTTAATTTGACAAGCACACCGGGTCAAATATCTTTGTATGTCTATATTAAGATTATTTGTTTACTAATAAAAAATATAATAATTTAAAAATATCTACTTTTAGACATTAATTAGTATCTTTTGGCGCGAATGGCGCACATTCATTACAAAGTCAAGTGTCAGAATTAGTGTGGGGACATAAACGTCGACATTTTAGTAAGGCTAGTGTTGTGCCAGTACACTGGCATTGTCGGTTTTTCTTCCTAACAATACTTATGTATTTCTTGTTTCTTTACTGCCATAGCCGCGAGAGTTATAACAATTCAATTGTTGCATAAATGGAAGAAAATAAAACATTCTTAGTCAACTATATTTCCATTCTAATTTATTTGATTAATCATCTGTTCTATACACATGATATGCACCAATGTTTTTAAATTATACAAACAATGTTCATGACTCGAATACAATTAAAAAAAAACAACTATTTACATAACACGAAACAATGTCTTAAACTTACACTTACATTGCTTATAACTTGAATTATGATTCAAAATATAATATAGACCCATCTGAGGAAAATAGTTGTATGTCTTAAGTGACTTAAGACATATAACTCTTTTCGTTATGGATCTTAATATCAATCAAATTCAACACTTAAAAGTTTTTGAACGTAGAATAATTAATGCTTTTATCCCACAAAAACAGTTTACATTTACAATCGTTTTGTTTATGTCTTTCCTGGTGACATACTAAATATATTATGAAATAATTATGACTTAATTCAAAGTAACTAAAAGGCAGATTTCCATACTCAGAATCGCTTAAGCATTAGGGTAGATTTAGTATAAATACTAAACAAGCCCTCATTAGCCATTTAACGAATCTGGTGTGGCAGTTAAAGTATAAAAAACTTGCGAATACAGTCTTTGAATTCGTGCATTTTCAATTATTTGTTATAAACGAGCAAATGAATAAAAAAAGAAATATGATAGATGTATAAATAATTAGTCTTTTCCAAGTCTAAATTAGTGATTAATGTAAAGGAACGATTTTTACAGATCAAACTATATCTTAATTAACTTATAATTATTTGAACGATTTTCACATATTGGTCAGCGCAACTTAATAATAAAAGACAGTTCGTAGAAAGCTTTTAAATTAGTTTTCTTTATATCAAAATTGTAAACTATCGCTTGATTAACATTATGCCATTTAAATCCTATTTCTATTGCAGTTACAAGTATTTTTATTATATACAAAACATATACGTTTAGAAATATTGACGAATTAAATATAATTGGATAGCTACGGTGTGAAACCTCATACTTTTCTAAGTAAAAATAAAATAAATTGAAAATACTTCGACATAATACATACTTCGAAACTCGTTTAAGCTTTAAGCCCTTTAAATCTCATTTTTTTTTGATTCTTTACAAAACAATAATAACTATATACTTCTAACATAAAACAGTCCAAAAATAAGACAATAGTCAAAGTATTGATTAAGGTTTTTCGATGTATTTTTACGGTAACATAGTAATAAAGGTCTACATACGAAAAAACTAGAATATTTTTTAGTGAGGCATCAAAACGTAGCTATAACTTAGGCCGTAAAATAGCTTAGAAATTTATTACATTAGCTATATTATTAGCAACGATTCCTAGGACCCACTGCATAGTTCGTAAACTAACAAGCATAGTTTGGAAGCACACATATAAGACGTACGTACAGACCAACAAAAATCTATATAACCACATGCAAAGCACATACGAGTAAATTAAAATATTTATTCTTTATATTTATTAGCTTATTATACGTGTATTTAAAATAAATTAGAATATAAATTAAAATTTAATCAGTAATAATGAAGCTGCCATATTTTTGTGACTTTATAAAATCAACTTTTATACATTATTAAAAGTTTTTTTTTATATCATAAGGTGGCAAACGACCGAGCGGCCACCTGAAATCGCTGAAATAGTGAAGTGACCGTTGCCCATAGACATACACAATTGCATATGCCTTGCCTACCTTTAATCGTCGGAGACGAGGATGCACAGAAAGAAAATATTTTCCCTTCCCATGCATCCTCTCATCCGGAAAGTCCACTTCCACTTCTCATCCTTTCCTTATAAGGAAAAGGGTGGGAAGGGAAAGAGGACTAAATTAGGTCTCCGGGACGCACACTCATCAGACTGTACGCGGAATTGCTTCCACTCGACGCCTGTCTTCTGTGTGGTCGTGGTATTTCACCGGGCGAGCCGGGACTGTGCTTTAAAGTTCTTTTTTATGGTACGAAATAAATATTTAGGAAGCATTAGTTGATAGAAATACATATGTAATATTTTATTATAAAATTATATTTTTTAAGATTGCCTTTTGTGACTAAGTTTTTCAGTTAAAATCTTAATGTGAGGATTTAAAACGTTATAGATAAATATCTTTCTACAAATGATTTATTTTAGCGAGAGTAGATTTTCTTTTGTAAAAAATATTTTGTCGGGGAAATTGTATTTACGTTGGGAAGTTTGTAAAATGGTAAATGAATAAAATCTGATTTTTAGACAAATATAAAATATGAACCCTGTCACCAATTATGTGCGTTTGAAAGTGGGTTATCAATGGCAGATGACACTCTATTTAAAATTTCATATAAAAAATTACATTTTGTTTAAGCTTATAAAATCTAAAAAAAAAATCGATGGGATTACACAGATTAAAAAATATCGTATTGTCAAAATTGAAAGTAACAAAATCAGAAATTACCTGAACCTTTCAAAATTGAATATTATCTTCTTGAATATAATATTCTCTATTCTCATGGTCTTTTTTTGTTTGACAAAGTTTATATTGTGTCTATTTAAGATTATACAATCTATATTAAATAAAAGATTATAAACGAATAGTTAACTAAAATATATGATTAAAAAGGAGTCCCTTTAGGCAAGATTCCGAAGATACTGGCAGCGTTCTCTCTTTGAATAGCTATACTAATTCTTTGTCTGAGGTTGCTGCCAGCTTTTCGGTCTCCTTGTGATTGAAAGTAAAAAAAAATATGTCGTACATACACAACACTTTACTCAAGCAACCAGTTAATCTAAATGAAGCTCATTTTTCCTTAACATCTATTTATGTGGGTTCATATCGTGCGAAATTAAAAAAAACTCGTATATGTAGAGTTTTCACTGACGATACACCTGTACAAGAATACGGCATTCGCGAAATATGAATATTTCCAATAGGTATTTTTAATAGAGAAACTTACGGATGCAGTTAATACGGGTTTAGGATTCAATTGTTTATTTTTACCCAAAATAAAGCCATAAGTTAAAATTAAATTTGCTTTAGTCATTTGTTTTTAGTTATATCACAAAGTGAAATAATTCAGTAATGTATCGGGTTTCATAAACATGGGACGTTGTTTATATAATCAAATAAATACATGAAACTGTGGCTCAATTTAAAATATTAAGCGTTCTGTAAAAGCATGCAACGCTTAGCTTACATCGTTCAAACAAAGCCAAAATAATACAAATCTTATAATAAAAAATAATTAATTAATTGACCATCCTTACATTTAAATAATTCAAAAACAACTACTCTTTTACAATCTGATTACAAAGATAGAGATAATTGACAAAAAACTAATCAAAAACTTTTATAATTTACATATATTCCGGTCACGTTACATAGAAATTTTAAAACTTATTTCACTTCGCTTTCAAGTGAGTCCACTCATAAATACATCGTAGCTAAATTCTGCGTATATTACATAATATGATTTCACTACGAAAGGTGCAAATATTTCTAAAATATATATATATCATAAAATGTACTCTAATGTGCAATATACAATGCACGCATAACACATATGTATTTAATGTTATTTACCATAATTTCTTACACATAAAAACATTACTGTTAAACAGTATCATTCACTATACATCAATATTAATTTTATCAGCTAACTTCATATAGTACAATTTTGGTGTACATTTGTTTCGTAGTTCACACGTCGTGTTTGTCACTTTTTAAATAAATAACAAATAAAATATTGCCTATTAATTATATTTACTAATGTAATAAAGAAGCCTCGGTCAATATAAAATGAAAATTACAGATTAAAAAGGAAACAGGAAGCAGTTCAAAAAAATATTTGAAAAGAGAGTTTCCAATGCTACAAAATCAAAAAGTTTTGTTAATGGGATACATCTCCACTGAGAGTATCCTTCGTTAAGTTAGGGATAACTAGGCCATAAACAACCAAGCTGCATTAGTACGGGTTGATTGACATGACACTAATAAGAACTAAACATTTAAAAATAATTAATTAATTAAGAAGATTAAATAAGTTCAGTCTACAAACACGACGATTGAACTACACACATACATATTTATATATATATATCTGGACATCAATTTAAAATCAAATAACCGCACGTACTCATAACACTCCATACATCAGTTAACAATCATTATTGTCAGTTATATAACTATTTTTATGATTTTTTTTTATATTTATTTTAAAATATAAATTCGCAACTAGACAAAGGCAGTTTTAAAATAATTTTGTTATTAATATCCATTATTTTTATTTATTAAAATTACACTGAAATGTGATAAATATATTCTCATTCACATTTAATACACAAAAAAAAATCAGGTAGATAAAGAATTGAATGATATTTTGTTTTATAAAATGGTGTAAGTACATACATCTGTATATTACTAAACGCCAATTATCTCTTAACGCTGAAGTTTGCTACAAATCACAGCACCACAACTTGGCGTAGCTAGCTTCAGAGGACAAAGAATATTATAGATTGTAATAGTTAGAAATCATTTTAGCTGATTATAGTTTCTTTTAACTCACCATTATACAAAAAGAAATGCAGTCAAAGCATTCTCTTCACATAAAAGTATGGCATAGGCGCCTGATATCAAGTTAAATCTAGCAAAGTACACTTAAACTTAGTTACGAATATCGATAGGAGCTTGCAATTTATTATTCAAACGTGCAAATAATCGACCGACTTCATAGCATCTCGAATCACTTATAACAAAGGTCAGAATTACGCTATCACATAACATCCATAGATAATAGAGTCAAGTCATTAAGCCGGTATAAGGTTGATATAAAATTGTATTGCGACGATGTTTATTGCTTGTTAGGAGCGCAGTTGTGCGGGACTGAGCACCAGCTCGCCGTCGGGGTTGGCGGCAAAGGAGACGTTGCGCGGTGGAGGCCGTCGCCCGGACGCCACGCCTTGCGACGTGCTCGGACCCGCCCCCGGGGACACCGCCCCCGAGCACGCTGGAGGCGGCTTTAACGTACGAGAATGCGTACTCGCCTGTTATTATAACAAATAATAATTAGCACATCAAATTGCGGCTTGCTCTCGTTTATTAATAAACATATTTCAAAGTATTTCTATTATATAATAAGGCGTTCAACCTGTTCCAAGTTAATTTTTTAGATAGTGTAAGAAAAATTAAGCATGGGCAACGATCTGCTATATCACTATACATGCAGCATACACTCTTGTTCAATGTGGTACATTACGAATACTAGCATTATACCATACCTGTTGCACGATAACTGCGTGAGGCTGCGTAGTAGCGGTGCGATACCTCCTGAGCCGCTCGTCCTCCTCGCCGCTTGACAGGCTGGACACATCGCACGAGGAGCCGTCCAGGCGG